GCCGCGCCGCACTCCAGACGTCCTGCCGCCGCCGAGGCCTGGTACCCGCCTCCCCGGCTGCGCTGGCGGCGCTGCCCTTGGGCTATTTATGAAGCAGAGGCAAGGCCTTCCCAGTCCCTGGGCGTGCAGAGTCTAAAGAAGTGGCGTCGGCTGCCGCGGTATCTGAAGAGACCTTACGTCGCCGCCTCCACTGACCTCTTCCCCTCCCTCGCCTCCCGGGCCTAACTTGGCAGGTGGCCACGGGCCAGTGTCGCTCTTTCTAGGACAAAACTGGGCAGCTGCTAAGAAGAAGGGACCTGTCCGAATTTCGGTCCTCACAGACACCCCTAAACAGAAGTGGGTTTCACCCAGTGGCCTCGCTTCTCCAGCCCCTCTTGATCACCAGTGTCCTGACTGCTGCTTCTTAGTGATAAGGACCTTACTGCTGTTGGGTGTGTTCCCCGCGGTGAACGTGGCCACCGTCATGTACCTGTCCAGACGCGGCTTGCATTACAAACTCCACGTTAACCCGGTAAGGCGCAGGAGCTGCCTGTCTACCTACCCGGATGGGCACTCACCTGGCCAACTCTGCCCTTAGGGATGCTTCCTGCTTTCCATTTCACGAAGTTTGAGTTCAGCCGTCACTTAGTTTTCCCATTCCACCATCACCTGTCCTCTAGTAGCGATTCTATCCCCTCATCTTGCTCACAGCCTTCATAAAAGTCACATTTTAGTTACTGTTACCGTCTCATGGCACGGTATCTGGTCCCGTTTCTCCCTTCAATATCTCCAGCCTCAAAGCCTCCTTCAGGAGGTGAAACGCAGGCAGCCCTCCAGGAAAGCACAGAGCCCACTTTATAAGCCTGGCACTCCGGCCACCACGCAGAAATGGTAGACACAAGTCCCTTGGCCACCAAAGAAGCCAAGGCAGGCCTCCTCTGTGGACTTGTCTCCTGCATTGGAAAGAATATGATACCCTCCCTGTGTGACCCTGACAGCAGGGCCTGACACTAGTTCAACCAACTGGCTACATTAAGGTTTATTCCAGATAAAGCCTCTCCTGTTGACAACAGGCTTTGTTCCAAGTATAAGTTATTTACTACGAGGGGTGTCATTGCCAATGTCAGATGGATCTTAACTGAAAGCAGAGAATACTTGAAAGAATTACCTGTGTTTTATTGGCTATGCAAAGGCATTTGACTGTGTGGATCGTAACAAATTATGGAAAACATTACAAAGAATTCCAGAACACTTAATTGTGCTCATGAGGAACCTGTACATAGACCAAGAGGCAGTTGTTCAAGCAAAACAAGGGAATACTGCGTGATTTAAAGTCCGGAAAGGTGTGCGTCAGGGTTGCATCCTTTCACCATACTTATTCAATCTGTATGCTGAGCAAATAATCCGAGAAGCTGAACTGTATGAAGAAGGACGGGACATCGGGATTGAAGGAAAACTCATTAACAACTTGCGTTACACATATGACACAACCTTGCTTGCTGAAAGTGAAGAGGACTTGAAACACTTATTGATGAAGATCAAAGACCACAGCCTTCAGTATGGATTACACCTCAACATAAAGAAAACAAAAATCCTCAACTGGACCAATAAGTAACATGATAAAAAAGAAAAGATTGAAGTTGTCAAGGACTCCATTTTACTTGGATCCACAATCAACACTCACGGAAGCAGGAGTCAAGAAATCAAACGCTGTATTGCACTGGGCAAATCTGTTGTGAAAGACCTCTTTAAAGTGTTAAAAAGCAAAGATGTCATTTTGAGAACTAAGGTGCACCTGACCCAAGCCATGGTGTTTTCAATCACCTCCTATGCATGCGAAAGCTGGACAACGAATAAGGAAGACCAAAGGAGAATTGATGCCTTTGAATTACAGTGTTGTTGAAGAATATCGAATATACCATGGACTTCCAGAAGAACGAACAAATCTGTCTTGAAAGAAATACACACCAGGTGGACCTCCAAACTCAGGGAGCTTATTAAACATGCCCTTCCCACCTCCAAGAAAATAATCTCTACCCTGAGAACTTGAGAAAATTGATCATTCAAAGTAGTCTATAAAAATCAGTATATAGGTGATGAATAATTTAAGAGTGAGAAAATATAAAAGCTGATCTAAGGTTTGAAACCGTGTGACCTTGGTAGAGTTCCTTAATCACGTGGGTCTGTTTTCACTACCGTAAAACGGCAATAATGATAGTACCTCCTCATATACTTATGAGGATTCAATGTGCTAATATGCTTTAAGTGCCTGGCACATAGCAAGTGCTCAATAAATGTTAGCTGTTATTAAGGTCCCTGGGTGGTGCAAGCTGTCTGCTCTTGACTACTAATCTAAAAGGTTGGTGATTCGAACCCACCCAGTGCACCACAGAAGAAAGGCCTGGCAATCTGCTGCTGTAAAGATTACAGCCAAGCAAACCTTTGGTGCAGCTCTACCTGTAACATATGGGGTTGGCATGAGTAGGAATTGACTTGACAGCCATGGAGTTTTTATTATTATTATTACAGCACATGTCTATCTGAATTAGTATTGAATAACAGAAGACATACTCTAAATACACAGAAGAGGTATACCTCAGTCCTGCACCCTTCCCGGTTTGGGGCTTAAACTGTCTTCAGACTATGAAACCTCTGAAACATTTACTGTATGACAGCAAGCAGAGCAGTCAAAAAAGAGGCCGGTGGGTAACTCACGTCACCGGGCTGACGTATTCCTGCTAATTGCATTTGTCATTCACAATTTAAAGAAACACCTGGTCTCAGCAGAGATATATCGCTTGTGCTTATTGCTTACTCATTCTCCCAGCCAAAGAGAGATAACAAGAATTGTCTCACCGCCCAGGCCTACAGTACATTGCCTGGAAAGCCAGTGGCTGAGGAAGCGCTTAAGGAAGGAGCTGGAAGTGTCTGAAACTCACAGCCCCGGGCCCGGTTTCTGACCTTAACAAAGGTTGTCACATGGTATCAACAAGCTGCACTTAAAAAAAAAGAATGTTTTCACTAACACTGAATGTATATATATTCTTGTTCTTGTTGGCTGCTGTCAGGTCGGCCCCCAATTCATGGTGACCCCACGTGTTACAGAGTAGAACTGCCCCATAGAGTTTTCTCGGCTGTAATCTTTATGGCAGCAGTTCACCAGGCCTTTCTTCCATGGAGCCATTGGGTGGGTTTGAACCGCCAACCTTTAGGTTAGCAGTCCATAGTAAACCCCTTGTACCACCCAGGCTATATATATATAAAATATATGTATAATATCATATATTGGCCCAAATTCAGACTGCATGATATACTTTACAATAAGTTAGAAGGTTTCTATAGCTGGTGTTCATTGAAGCCCTCCATCTGCCCAGCCCTGTGCTGAGCACTGTACAGACATATTTCATCCTCACAACAGCCCCATAAAATAAGCCCTATTTTGTAGATGAAGAGCCTGGCATTAGAGATTTGTAAGTGACCTCTCATACAACCTGCAAATGATAAAATCTGATCTAGGCATCAAACTCTCCACCCCACGTTATGCTAATTGGACCATTTTGAACACATTTCTTCTGTTCTAAACATGAAAAGAACAGTTTTTTAAGTTTACTTTTTATTCATGCCAAACTTGACCTGCTACAATTCATAACTTTAGAGATTATGGCACTAAAAATTCTTTCTACGCCGGTATTTGACCCAGAAATTAACAAACCTTTGTCTTTTTTTTAAGATATTGAAAAAGCAGTTGTCTTTGTTTTCATATTATTTCTACTTGGCAAGAGATGATATTTCCCTCAGGAAAGAGAATGGTCATCTTGTCCAAGGCACCGCATTCTTCTTAAAAAGAAGAGATAGCTCTTTTTCCCCAAAGCAGTAGCCTCCAGATTTTAAACACATCTTCAAAAGATTGAGCCTTCTCACCGTTGAGCCCTGATCCAAACACACAGAGCAGGATATAACCTGACTTTCCAAAAGGAACTCACTTCTCCAGGTAGCTGAATCTTCTGTACACAGTCAATGCTTTGTTGGTTAATTTATATACTACGTATATTTCATAATACCTTGGCTGTACAAATGTACTTTTGTACCAAAAAAAAAAAAAAAAAGGTATGCTTTTTTCCCCCTCAAAGTATTTCAGGATACATTAAATTTAAGAGATTCTCGACCTGAGGTGACCACCTTTCTTTTCTTTTTATGATAAGAGCATGAGAAGTGAAAAAAAACTACGAAAGCTAAATGACGGTCGGCACCACTTTGAATGGGCTGTCGATAAAAGGAGAAATACTCAGCGCTGCTGTGAGTGGCGGGGCCCTGGTGGCACCAGGGATGAAGCGTTTGGCTGCTAACCAAAGGGTCGGCAGTTCAAATGTACCAGCCACTCCTTGGAAACCTTATGGGGAGGTTCTACTCTGTCCTGTAGGGTCGCTATGAGTCGGAATCGACTTGACGGCAACAGGTTTGGTTTTGGGTTTTTCAGTTGTGATTGACAGCCTATCCCAAAGGAGGCAGCTCTGCCCATCAGCCTGCCCGGTTCCCTTACCTACAGGTGTCTCCACGCTTTTCCAGAATTTCCCTGTTCTTGCAGCCAAATAGTGCAGGATGACTAGCTGAGTGCTGGCACTCACCCCGGAAGTGGTAAGAAAACAAGCACCACCCTAGCATCAGCTAACTGTTGGTGCGTGCCATCGAATGGATTCCAACTCATAGCGACCCAACAGGACAGAGTAGAACGGTTTCATAGGGTTTCCAAGACTGTAATCTTTATGGAAGCAGATCGCCAGGTCTTTTCTCCTGCAGAGCCACTGGTGGGTTCGAATTACTGACCTTTTGGGTTAGCAACCAAGCACTTAACCTAACACATACCCGTTGCCGTCAAGTTGAT